GAAATTGGATTAATGTTTGGCCAGTAAGAGTAAACGTTAGAACTAATATTATCGAACTAAATATTTACTCTTCACAGACGATGTATCGCTTAATTACTTCTTCATCCTTCTATCTTCATTCTATCATCGCCAATCAACCGTATATCGAAAATGATAAATTCTAATCAGCCCATGACTTTTGAATTGTATTAAAACGAAAAAGAAAAAGAGAGAGAGAGAGAGAGAGAGATAAAATATTATATAAAAAAAAGAATATAAGAGGAAAATTCTCCTTGCTCGCGATTACCGTCTTTTTTTAATCTTTCATCGGATTCTTGAAAAAGGTAATGGCCGTTGTTCTTTTTTTTTTGCGTTGACTTTGTCGAGTTCACGAGTAAGAGTGAGATAAAGAAAGAAAACGAAGGAACATTTTCGTTGCTTTGATTTTTCTCGAGACGTCTGGCGAAGCATTCCGTCGCATGAATTCTTAAACGGGCAAAATTAGCGAATTAAAAGTGCGAGGTAGAGAGAAAAAGGAAGCTCGCGAGGGTGACGGCTCGTCACAGAGAAGGTCGAGTCGCTTTCGCTGTTGGTTGATGGCAAGATTTGAAAGACAGAGAGATATAGAGGGAAGAAGAAGAGTGAAAGAGAGAGACGGAGCGAATGAAGGGGTTCAAAAAGAAGAAATTCGATGTCTGAATTCTAGATCGTTCGTCCTTTTTACTTTGCTTTATGGCAGCATCTTGTAAATACGAATATGCAGACTTGTTATGAGAGCGCGAGTCGTTTGCCAGAGTGGAAAGGGAGAGAGATAGATAGACAGACAGACAGATAAATAGATAGATAGATAGATAGATAGATAGATAGATAGATAGATAGATAGATAGCTAGATAGATAGATAGATAGATAGATAGATAGAAGGAAAAAGAAAGAGAGAGAGAATGAGAACAATCCCCATAGCGAAAGAACCTTAATTTTTATTCATGCACAGGCGAAACGGTAATTTTTCGCGGCATTAAGTGGGCTTTAAAATTGTCCGGTCAATTTCGTCGCGAGTACGTGATCCTTTTTTCAAACGATACTTTAGCCGTCAGCTTCACAATCGAAAAGGGGTGTATTTTGTGTGATCGTGAAGCTCCGATGATAGCTGCAAATTGTCGATGAACAGAAGTGAGCTTCGATCCTCTTCAATACGAAACGGATGTAAATTTGGAGTTTCTAAAGTAGCTAAGATTAAATCTTTAATAGGATCTACGATCGAGAAAATATAGAGATAGAAAAGTAAATCCGCATTTTCTATTCTTAGAAGAACGCAAAGAACAGAACAAGTTCGATCGATCGTCCTCGATCGTTTCGAAAATTATATGACGATAAAAAAGAACAAAGACAAAACGTATTTTCTGATTTTCCTGTTTCTAAATCACATCGACACTATTTAGATGAATTTTGGTCGATCTTTTTACCGAGTTAAGCTACTTGAAAACTGATTAGAAACATGCGTTCGATCGTGAGCGTGGAATAGAGCGATCATTAGATTTTGCTGTCGAAATTGAGTTTTGCTTGTTGCCGAAGGGATAATCTTTGCCAGGCAGTAGCAACCCTAGTAGATGTAACTGTGTTTAACGCTGGCCACACTATAGGTATAGAATATTCACATATACAAACTACGTGAGTGCATGTGCAACGTTCGACCGAATGAACGAACGAACGAATGAACGCGCGCGCGCGCACGCGCTTATTCGACAGTGGCGACACGCGTAACTTCGCTTCCATTATTGAACGATCGGGCGATCGAAAAACTCCCGCGCTTTTTTGCGTGATCCAAGTTCGGTGGGGCTATCGGCTTTCCCATTGGATGCCGAAGCGCAGTCACCCTCGCACGGTCGCCAGGAGGGGATGCTTGAGAAGATGTTCTCGTTCTCTCTCTCTCTCTCCCTCTCTCTCTCTCTTTCTCTCTCCCTCTATACCCTCTGTTCGTATTTGTCTAGTCTGCAGCTATTGACCGGGTATCGATATCGTCGACACTCGATATTATATTCGTCATTCCTTCTATTCTCTTCGTTCCTTCCTCCCCTCCTGCTTGTACGACCCACCCCTTCTCTTCCAAAACTTCCTCCCTCTTTTGCACCACCCCCTTCCCATTTCACTTCTCACACGCATTCTGTTAAATTTCGGTTAATGAATTATATATGTGCCATATATATATGTAGATAGATATAGGTATGTGTATATATCTATATCCATATCTATATCTATATCTAAATCTATATATATATTAAATCTATACATATAATATATATATATATATAAACACGAAGGCCCGGGGATAGAGGATAACTGCCGAGAGAGAATGAGAGAGAAACAGCAGTCGGTCGCAGCGGAGCAGTAAATTCCCGCCGTTTTTTGAATTCGATCGACCAATAGCACCACGCCAGAATCTCGTCGAAACGAGAGATCAATACGCCGCGTAAATGCCGTATCGGGACTATATCGGAAGGAAAGCGGTATGCGCGGTTTGCAAGCAGCCGTTTGTCGGAATTCGAGTTGTCGGGAAAATGGTGGTTGGTGGGTAACGAGGCACGAACCGCCCGCCAATTTTTGAATCCGTGCCGACAGATATTCCGAATGACACAGGGAGATATTAAAGAGGGAAGCTGTGTTTTCGATCGGACCTAAGATATTCTCATTGGTCTTTTCTTCTATCGTTTTTCTCGTTTTTTCTTCGTTTTATATTTGAGAGCATTATTAAATCGATACTGTTATTCCATATCTTTGCAAAATGCATTCATCCAAATTAACCCTTATAGTGCATATATATATATATGTATAACGATATGTCATTAATGGAAATTTCATAAATGATCACGAATATTGTTACAAATTAAAACTATTTTTTCTTAAACTTTCTCAAATTACATCAATTTGGTTTGGTATTTTTCACTAAAATATAATAGGCTCTAAATGGATTAAGCTAATGTTCATTGAAATTTGGTTTCGATTTAAGTCTTTAAAGCCTCTACCGCATATGAATACATTTAGTTTAAATCTCATAAATAAAAATTAATCTTTTATAAAGATAAATATATAGTATTTATTAAATTATGTAGCTTGAAAATAGACATCAATTATCATACGGTGAATAACAGCATTTCTTATGTATATTTTCGAATATTAATATAATTTAAATAGTAGTGCTATATTTCTTTTTAGTCAATTTATGCATTTATTTTACCATAAATGTTAAAACTATTAAGTAGTAAAAAAATAAATGCATACAAAAATATATTTGAATAGCTATTTAATTGTATAAAACATGTTCATAAATTCGTTAGACTTCAATGAACGATAGTCACAATTATATACAGTTTTTTTCAGATAATTTTTAGAAAATTTCCAACGTAAATTTTTGGTATTTTTATTGACTATCAAAAAAATAAATAAATAAAAATTTAACCTTGCAGAGATTAAATCGATCTATATAGAATTTATCATGTAATAGTATTAAAAATAAATTAGAATAGGGATTATACACATATATACGAGATCGTTGAAACTCCGATAGGACTCTTAATAAATACATTATTTGAATATTGTTCCTATTTTGAAAATGTGTGGGCAAATGTATGCTTGCAAAAGACAGTGACGTTTCATCGATAAAAAGGTGAAAAGTCAAAGTCGCATATGCGGCAGTAACGTTCTCGCATATACGTTGTTGTACGCAGTCCGTTTTGAGCACCGAGTATATCTGAGGTGGTGCGGGAGGGCGGAGATACGTAGTCAGGGTGGTTATTAATGTAAGGGGTGGCTGAGCAGTAGTTATTTGGCCATGGGTGGTCGCGAAAGAGAAGGTCTAAGTCGAGAAGTGGGCGGTTGGGTTGGGAGGTGGGCTAAAATCAATGCGAGCCCTTCTTTTATCCTGAGCTACGGCCAAGAAAGACGAACTTTCGAGCAAAGCCTTCGTACGAGCGCGTTCCCATCACATGTATGCATACGACGACGAAGAATCGAGCATTTTTACTTTTACGTTTCTTTCAAAAAAGTAACTGCTTTTATTTTCTTAAAAATAGTACACAACATTTAGTAATTATTTAAACATTTTTAATGAAATGAATTAATCAAATTGAATATTTAAAGGTTAGACTTATTAATGAGATTTAAAAACAAGTAAAATAGTTGTGATATTTAAAATTTATCAATTTCAATATAAGAGTTAATAACAATGTAACGGAATCTCAAATGATTTCTTAGACATTACGATTAGATGCGGTTTTCTAATTCGCTTTTTCGTCGTTATTTTGAAAAGAGTCCCGATTAAATAGTTAGCATGCCAACGAAGACTCCGTATTTTTTTTTTATTCTTTAGTACTAAAGCAAATCTTAGTTGAGATCGGGGAAATTTTTCCAAGGGTCGATTCGTATACGGCAACGAACGTTCGCTCCAAGGCTAATACCTTCCAACTGACTACGCTCATCCCTTAATGAAATTCTTTCTATCTCGGCGCGAGCAATCGGTTACCGCTCCGCTATCAGTTTTTCTCCTTCTTATAGCATTATTGCGAATCCTTTAAAATGATCGATACATCGGTAGTCTTAACTAGCTTCTAACGAGATTGCTTCAGAAGAGATTTTTTATTATGGCTATTATCAAACAACAATTCGTTGTTTGAAAATCTTTCTCGTATATATTAAAATATTCCTATGATTTAAAATATTTAAATAAAAGCTATTATAAGCAACGATCAAACTACGTTGGATTAAATAGTTACCGTTAGATCGTTAAAGTCAAACAAACACAGGCACAGTTAGTAAAATAAATAGATAACCCGTTCGGGAAGAAACTAAAACTATGTGCTGTTGACTCTAAAAAGAGGTCATAAAAAGATGCGAATTTTTTGATAGTATTGGATAAGTGTGATAAAATGTTTGTAGAGAAGGGGCTCGAACCGATAAAAAGGAAAATAAAAAATGACGCAAATAAAAGCTATTATGTAAATAAATAAATAAATAAATAAAAGCTTACCCGTGTGTAGCCTCGTATGTTGTTGTACATGGCTCAGTTGTTTGAACCTGCGGTCACAATAGCTGCATTTATAGGGCTTCTCGCCGGTATGAACCCTGATATGCTGCACGAGCTGATGATTGCTCGAGAAGGACTTGAGACATTGCTGGCACTGGTGTGGTTTGACCTCGTTACCGGTGATCATGCCCCCGGGTCCGACGCCAACGCCAACACCGACGCTGAGACCCGCGAGGCCTCCCGCGACGCCACCCCCGGGTCTTGCCGTCAGTGCGCCAGCACCCAGCTCCCTCGCGTGCATCTGCATCGCGCTCTTGTGCATGAAGATCTGCGAGAAGAACTGCCGGGGTTAGTTGGTACGCTGTACTTTTTTTCGAGCAACGGAGAATGGTAAATCGGCCCTAACACGATTTATCATTTATTATAAATAGGTACAATGTATTTGGGACATGATAATAATTTTCGATCATCATCTTTACTTGTTTTATTTCTATTTGACCACTTTTTTTAATTCAAAAAGATAATTTCTATTAACAGAAATAATATATTATGGTAGCATGCATAATTCGTTGATTCGCTCGATCCGATGACTAGTCGTTTACCATTCCTATGGTATGTTAGTATTTCTATATTTATTGTCAAGGATTATAAAGAGCTTCGAAAGCTTACTTGAATACATGTCAATTCTGAACCCTTAAACGAAGAGTCTTTCAATAGTTTAAGTATAGTACTACGAGAAGTGAGAAAAAGGAAGAGAGAAAGAGTTAATGAGCTTTTCAGATTATAATTATATATATAGAATATTTCTCGTTATTGGGAACTTTAATAGGAATTTTACTTACGTGGCGGCGGAAGTTCAATGCCGCCGGCAACGGCATCGAAGTCGGAGGTCATCGCATAGATTCTGTTTTTCATTCTGTTGTACGATATCGAATCGTTTTGTTATCGCAGTAAAAATTACGTAACGAACGTTTTATGAAAATATCTTAATTTATGTCTAATATTATGTTTATAATAGCATTGAGTATATAACTCATGTAGGAAAAATTTTGGTCTTGACGCAAAATAATAATCTGCAATAGAATATATATTCTACACTTATAGAAACAAAATATTAAGATAATTGAAAGAGTACGCGTATTAAACATTAGAGTTCTTTCGCATTCTTTCCTTCACGGCGCGTAGGAGAACGAAACTGTTGGAAGGACCGAAACCCTGAGAAAGAAGAACGTTCGGTTTAGGCTACGTCCTGGAAGAACAGGTGTTGCTCCATCAGCGAGTGTGGGTGTGGGTGAACGAACGAAAGGGTTAACGTTATATACACCGGCAGAATACAGTCCAGAATAAAAGTTGCTTTGAATTTTGTTCCTGTTAACCGAGAAAAAAGAGGGAAAAAAGAGAGAGAGAGAGAAAGAAAGAAAGTGAGAAAAACAGCTTGAAACTTGAACGGAATTAAAGCGAAGAAAAGAGAAAGAGAGAGAAAGAATCAGAATAGCGATGGGCGGTAGAACGAAATGGTATGGGAAGACGCCAGAGGATTTTATTAAAATATGTTAAAACTGTAATTAAAATCGAAAAATCTCGTGAGAAGTTTTAAGAATCTCACGGCACCCTTCTTCTTCTTCTTCTTATGAGTGCAACAAGGAAGATCGAGAAAAGGTGAAAGAGAGTATCAAGAGAAAAAGAAAGAACGAAAAAAAGAAAGATAGAGAGAATTGAAATTGTCACCGGGGGTTCTCAAGTTTCTTCGAGTTTCAACCCTTTCCTTAGCATTCAAGGTAACAGCCGATGCTTGACTGCCTACGATCGACACTGGGCATCCCTGTGACTTTTAATCCCCGTGAGAGAAGGAGAGACTGTCAGCCGATTTTACTTCTCGTCTTTTTCCTCAGCTTTTTCTACTATCTCCTCAACTCCCTCTTTCGACTCGGTGTACCTACTTTCATTCCAAACCTGGACATAGCGGGTAGGGTAGTTGTGTTATTCGCTGATTTGAATGAAATTGGTCTCGTTTCGCGACACTAGAGTACCAAAACAATCGGTATTGTGTTCGTGTAATTTGTTTCTTCTTATCGAAGTTCGTTCGACAGCCAACCTTTGCTAAATTTATTTTTTCTTTGCGAAATAAATTAAATCGTACGCTTCCAGGAGAGACATTATAATCCATAATATTTTAAAAGTTTTAATTACTGTATCGTATAATGTGTATATTTTAGATTTTTTATAGTTACGAGGATATACCTAACTTAGGAGGATGTATCCAGAACAATTAATTCAAAGAATTACACAAATTGAACCATATGTATATCCAGAACAATTAATTCAAAGAGTTACACGTATTAAACCATATGTTTTAATATATGTCATAATAGAACGTTTTCTAATTATATCATAAACAATCGCAAACGACAGTCGTTGCTGTCATTTAGCGATTCATCAATGAGCAAGTAGTTCTTTCATGAATCTCAAAGTTTCTTGGTCTAGTTGTTGTAGAGAAAGAAAAGGCTTAAAAGAAGAATTTTCGCCTTTCTCGAATTACCAAGCAACGTATCCATTAATCAAATTTTTATCTCTTGGCAGACGGAAAATTGCGTCCCGACGTTCCGACCATACTGCTGGTTTGAATCTTTTTTTCTGATTTATAGTCGTCGCTGCGGTGAAAAAAGGAGATGGAAGTAGAATAAGGAGGAGGAGGAGGAGGAGAGGAAGGCAAGGTCCGCGAAGAGAAATGAAAAGAGGAAGGAGAAAAATAAGAAAACGGAAAGAGTCGCCTGGCCGCGGGCCGTCATCTTAATGTCCTTAATAATGGAAAAATATATCAAGCGACACCCAGTGTATTTCCTAAAGGCCATCTCTCACCTAGAAATCTCACCCCAACAATCCCAACCCTTTTCTCTCATTTTTTTACCCTTTTTTTTCTTTTTCTTACTTTTTTCTTTTTTCCTTATTTCGGAATCAAAAGTTTCCGTTTTAACGAACAATTACGATTCGTTTTTACATACTCCACCCTCTAATCCTGATTACTCTTTCTCTCTTACGATGTTCGTGAGCAGTACTGAGTGCACGTGTGCGCAAGTGGGCATGCACGCATGCACGCACGCACTCATGTACACGATACCACGTTCTCGCACGGTATCCAGAACATTCCGCGTGGCTTAACCACCGGTTCGCCCTCCACGTCCCGTTCCGTCCCGCGGCATCCCGCACTGTTCCGTTCCGTTCCGTCCCGTCCCGTCCCGTTTCGTCCCGTCTCGCCAAGGCGGCCACCATCACTGCCGCCTCCTCCTGATGCTGCTTCTGCTCGAAGGGATCGTTAGCATTTCAGGAGAAGCCGACTCCCAACCCTTTTCTCTCTCTCCTTCTCTCTCTCTACCATTCTACCGTGAGTTATGTCCGAGTGTAACATCGGCCACTCGAACTGGGCTACTTTATACACTTGGAATACACAAAGCGAAGCTCTCACCTGCTGACCATATGCCTCCTCTCCGCTATAGAAGAGGAGGAAGAGAAGAAGGAGGAGATGGTGGAGGTGGCACACACACGCACGCGCATACTCACGTGAAATCGTCCACCCACGCGACTCGCATATGCCGTGGAACAGTTCGAGTATAAGTCAGCAAGCGCGAGTACGCCTTCGGCCCACCGGCCCTTCCCTTTACTTTCTTCCCTTCTTTACTACCTTATACCATATATCCATCTCCAGTACCACCGACTCGCGACGAATAGCAATGTAATACAAAGAGGAAGAAGAAACACGGGCCGTGAGCCAATTTGTGGCCCATAATTGTCGGCTTTAATCCGACTGGCTCCTTCCCTTTTTACTCCTTTCCTTTTAACTTTAATGTACTTCAAACGTTTCCGGTTTGCCGATCATTTACCAGATCTGATTTAAGTATGAATTTCATATTGTATATATTTATTCAAGATTTACAAAATATTGTTACTAAATTATTAAATTTCTAATAGGAGAAAATTTATATATTGTAAAAAAGAATTCTAGTTCAAATTAAGATTCAGCTATGAAAATAATATAGTAACGGCTAAAAAGCACCAACCTACCGACGAACATTTCGTATTTTGTTTTCACCTCATTTATATTATAGCAGACTAATGAAAGAAGAGCGCTTTGCTTTTCAAACGGCTCTACTTCGTTGTCGTTGTGTTCGTGTCGATGTATAGCACGCGTATCGTTTGAGCGTTTCTATTCAGATAATAAGTGTCGACGATGGGTTATCACGAAGTCTGAGACTATGCGCGTCCTAGTTCTTCGCGATGAATTCTAGCACGCAAGCGTTAAATCTGCGACAGTGAATTTGATCGGAGTGTGTGTCGAAGTTGCGTGAGATTGTAGATAGATAGAAAAGGTAATGAGGTGGGGGGAAGGGGGGGGGAAGAAAACGTTGAGAAAAAATAAAGAAGATAAATGTTGTGGAGGGACAGGGAAAGCATAATCAATTTATCGCGCCTTTCATTGAACACCAATCGAGGAGAGTGAGAATCGAAAAGACATCCCGTTGATTCCTCTGTATATCGAGAATAATTACCTGCGGCGGTAAATGGTGATGCGGATGCTGATACGGCGACGGTACGTAAGCCGAATGGTTGTGGGGGTGAGTTCGAGGATGATTTTGATGCTGAACTTGCGGTGGGGGTGGTGGCTGGGGTGGCTGGCCCGGGGGAGGCGGTGTCCAAGGCCCGTGGCTCGGCCCGTGGCTTTCATTGGTGCCATACATCTTCACGGAAGAATCCTGAGCACGCGACCTAAAGAGTACCACCCACCCTCCACGCAAGACGATATGAAAGACTCGGATAGTGACATCGCTACCCTAACTCTGATTCGACCCTAAGTCTCGCCTTGGAAACTTAATTTCCTTTTGGACTCTGGCCAGAATATGTCTTTGGATGGACAAATTTTGGTTCTTTTTTTTGTATTTGTTTCTTATTTTTTACTTCTTTTTCCTTTTCCTTCTTTATCTTCTTCCTTACTTCTTCTTCTTTTTCTTTTCTTCTTCTTTTATTATTTCTTCTTTATTATCGCGTTTTTCTACTTGATGCTATTACCAACTGACGTCTACGAGGGAGAATATGAAACTTCGATATGCTACGATACGATCTTTAGATCTACTTCGTAATCGCGTAGATTGTCCTTCTATATTTTCATTTGGAAAGATAACTCTACCGGGAGAGGTAAGAACCGGTCCTTGGCACGATCGTACTACTTTCGATGTGGCCGATCTCCGAGTCTCCTATCACTTGCACGATCCCCGATGAACGTCCGTTTCTAGCCGTGTCGCGATTATCGTTGAGGAAAGTGGAAATTGGGAAGAAATTAGCGACAAG